AGTTGCTCTCTCCCATTTCCCTCTCATGTCTACTATTAAAGATCCAGTTGGAGAAAATATGCCTGAGGTTACCATGCTCTTCCCTTAAAATAATTTAAGTTAGCCCAATTTTATCCAATTACACATTAGCAATATCCACTTGAATTCTGAGCTGCACAGGATTCTGAATCACTTTTCTAAGATCTCCTCATTGATTAATGCTGTCAAGCCAACTGCTTAGGGCCAGTGTGTCTGGCTCATGTTCAGTATATGTTTATTGACTACTTACTGTGTGATGCTTTCTTGATTTCTACTCAATGATCATATACCTCACACTATGCCTTGTTCTAACAAATGAATGCTGGTGGAAAACCCCATGACAACACTGAGAAGGAGCAACTGCCTCTGAGATGCCTGCCCTTTAAGAGTTGAGGGCTTTGTCCCAAGGCTAGAGAATGTTAAAGAATCATAAATTCTTCTTTTGTTTCATGGACAGGATACAAATTTTTAAGTGAAAGGGCATTTCATTCTCATGATTGTAGAGTTACTTGGCTGGATAGATCAGAACTGCATTGAGCAACAGGAGCATTTTCAAAAATGTATTCCATAGATGTGGTATTAATTTTTATTATACAAATAACAGAAAAGAATTTCATGATCAGACAAATTTGGAGAATGAAAAATTAAAGTCAAATGGATGCTTTAGTATTGGAAAATTAGAGTCTTCAGGTCCTAAGAACTATGGTAAATGACTGAACTAACTTGGGCATGGAAACTGTTTTACACTGTTCCTCATGGGACTGTTCTTCCACAAAACAAACTGTTGGATACACTGACCTATGAGAATAGACACATTATTTTCTGACACTGACGTTTCACAGTATTTCCACAAAATTAAAGATATAAGAATAATTTAACTCTAGTTTTCAAGGAAATACATTCCTTTTAAATAAAGAAGTTATATACAACCGTTGTCATTAATTAGTGATTCAAACTGTATTCTCAGTGGGAATGATTCCCATTGATCAGCTCATCTTTTCATCCCAGGGACCTAGTGTTCCAGAAAGGTGATTAATACTGAATGCCCACTTGTGGACACAGGGCAGTATAAATTCTGTTGTCCCATCAGTAATTGAACTTCTGACAATGGTTTTCTTATTTCTGTTTCTACAGTCAAGTTTATAGGCTCCACATTGATCTGGTGTATAAAATAATGAGCTTTCAGTGTATGAAATAATGGCTAAAAGATATCTTCAAAACTATTATCCTTACTAACTAGTATGTTGAGGCACAGTTAAGGGGATCAGTGTGCTTCACAGATGGTAGTGTACTTTCTTACCCAAGCAGGTATGGCTAAGTATTCCTGCAGATAGGAAACTCTCACACAAGTGAAACTCATTGCCAGAAAATAATGAATTAATCAAAGCAGAAGCAGAAATTATGATTAATTTCTTAAATTCACAATTAGGGTTTTGATTTCCCTGAATCATCCTCCTGTTGTACCACATGTTCTCTGGTGTCAGATCCTAAGTTCCATACATTTTCATTTCAAATCAAGAGTTTCTAAGCCACATTCGACCTCTAGTAACTGCTGCTTGCTTGATGCACCTTACTTTAAACTCTGTAAGCCTTCAGTCAAGACTAGTCTCCTAAAAGCCAGTTGGCTCCACTTTCCTATAGTAAGATGACTATGCACATTCATTCACCTTATAGTAACTAGGCCTCAATGGTTCCCAAGGCTCTTCATTTGTATGATGTTGAATAAATCTACATATCAAAATATCAAATGATGTCAAATATATGGCAGAGATTATAAGCTAATTAACTGAGTAATCACTACACACCTTCATCTAGAACCTAGCCTCTCACCTAGTTTAGGTATCACATTTGGAATTAATGAGAGGAACTTTCATATCAACAAGACACCTAGACTTTAGAATTCTTTAAAAATTGCTATCAATTATACATATGTATGTATTACAATGTGATAATCCAATATCAGGAAACTGAGAAGTCCCATTTCTTTATATATGTTTTACATTTCTGTATTAACATATAACATTTGTACAGTTTATGAAGTACAGTATATTTCAGTATATGTGTACACTTTGTACTAATCCCATTTTGCTAATTAAAGTACGTAAATGATGTACACTATTCCACAGATCTTGCTTCTCAGATGCTAATTTGTAGAACTGCCTGCCATGAGCAGCCAACATTTACAGACACAAAGCAGGATCTAGCTAAGGGAAACATTGCCAGTTTCTCAAGGGCATACACGTATTTCAAAATCCTCCTTTTCATACCAGAAAGTAATCTCACCCAAAGCATTCAGGTAATATTATTTATAATGAAGGAAAAGATAACAATTTAAAGCTCCTCCCTCGTCTATATTTTTCTGCTAAATGCCTTCCTTGTTTTTTGCCAAGCTAGACATTTAAGAGACAGCTTGTTTGTGTTCTCAGTCATGGGTTTCATATATTTGTTAAAAATATGAGAGGAATTGCTGAAGGAGGACAGTATCGAACTCATTTGAACATAGGAATGATTGAAGTCATCCATACCTGAAGTAGTGTAACTGGTCTAGAACCTGCTGCCAGAAGGTGGAAAGAGCAGACATATCTGAAAAGACTCTGAAATACAAATGGAGCCAGGAAGTCTTGGAAACTAGATGTCAGGAATGGAAAAGTGAATGGAATCAAGGTTAGTTCCCAGTTTTCCATTCAGAAATTTTATGAACAATTGTGCAAGTCTTCGATGTGGGAAATCCAAAAAGCTGGAGAACAAAATAACAACTTTGACTTAGTTAGTATGGCAGCATGGAGAAGGTAGAGTTAAATTGAGAGAGAGAGAGAGAGAGAGAGAGAGAGAGAGAGAGAGAGAGAGAGAGAGAATGTGTGCAAAGTGAAAATGGATAGTTTAACCAATATATTTCCTACACACTCAAAACCTGCTCTCCTAGACTTGTTTCACTTTGTGAGAGGCTTTATGCTCTAGCTAAATTAAACTGTTATGATTATTCAGTTAGCCTTTTCCTAATCTCTACATCATGTTTTAATTTTCTCTTCCTAGTAGATCTTTACTTTCCAAAATCTTATTTAGTTTTCATATTATTTCTCAAAATATAAGCCCTGCTCTGGTCCTTTCAATCAGAAATTACCTGGATCTGGATCTTCACAATGTTACTGAATGGTTCACCCAGTCTATGTCTTGGTGATTGTCCATTTCTTAGCTTACTGTCCATACATATCCCCTAGCTCTACCAGACATTCATACTCCTAACATGATCCATATCTTACTTAGCTCACCCACAGGCAATAAAGTGCCTTACCAAATATGCAGGTATGTTGGTATCTTTAATTTAGTGGAATTGAAATAAAAAATAATGAATAATGGTCATTAAGTAACATTTCAAAATTATACTTTACATTCTCCACTTATTGTTATAACACTTATGCCACTATGTAAACTGAATGTAACTCTCTCTTTCAGGATCAAGTACATTAGGTACATTTTATAGATACCAGTGTACAACCTGTAAGTGACACAATGAATATAGTGTAAGAAGTAATTATACCACCTAAGATGCAATCATAATCACTCACCCCTAGTTGAAATACAGTTTCCACACAAATCCCACTAATGGAAAAGTAATATATATGTAAATTTTCACCCCTTTATTATCCTTTGTGTAATGTTATCTGCAGAACTGCCAGAATCTCTTTGATATTTGTGACAAAACAGTCGGTCTGACTGTTGGGCTTTTCAGCAGTAACAGTGAGCTCTTTGCTGATGTATACATTCCTTGCTGTGGAAGAAATTTATTCTCAATAGAAACCTGAAGTTTAAAGGACTATATTTATAGGAAGAAACAGTAGAGGCTCTCAGACTGCTTAAGAGTTGGCTTTAGGTTAAATATCTCTCACAAACCTTGAATTTTATTTGCTCGTATTCAGTAAGGTGACTTCCTCCTGGTTGTCTTTATTGCAGTTTCCATCAATTACTGTTGATGACACATTATTGAAGTCAACATGATTGCAGTCAACTTCTTGGCATTCCTTTATTTCAGTCCTGATATGCAAAGTAGCTCTAGAAAGTTTTCTTCAGAGTTTCATATTTATCAGTAGGTTTAAGCCTCTTTCAGTAGTTCAAATCAAATACAAGTGCACATTATTTGTATTGTACATATACCAGCTGCAGTATTTAGCCTCTCTGATCAGTAATTTAAAAAACAGAAGTTGTCATAGTGAAAATAAGCTTTAATCAATTCAGACGATTCATGTATCTTGTAAATCTCTAGTAGGTATTATGTTTTGTTCTCTATCACTTGTTTTATAGAATAGTGCTTGTGTTTTTCTAACCTTAAAAAACAGTAATAAATTATACCAATTTAGGGCCAGGGTTAAAATTGTGCAAATATACTACTTACTACTCAGTAGACTTTAAAATGTTTTTTTTTCATTGGATTATCTTATTCATATACAATTTCAGTTGACTTTTCCCCCCCTCTATGAAATAATTGTTCAAATATATATCTTTCCTTCTTTCTTATAATCTGGGTTAAATGGCTTTACTCAACCTAAAAAAACACGAAGCCGGAATATCTTGATTTTGGTTTTGTTCTTTTGGTTTTGGTTTTGTTGTTGGTGGTGGTGGTGACGGTGGTCTTTTGAGATAGGGTCTTACTATGTAGCCCTGACTGGCTTGGAACTTGCTATGTAGATCAGGCTGGCCTTGAACTGACAGTGATCCACCTTCTTCTGCCTCCTGAGTGCTGTGATTAAAAGCATGCCCCACCTCCATGTCTGCAAAAAAATGTTAATAAGTATGATCATAGAAGAGACAATGGAACATAAACATGAAATTTTTGTCACAGGGATCCTGTTCTTGTTTGCATGTTTTTATTTAGGACATCTGGAAACACTGATCCACTTCCAGTCAGAAAGAAAGACAATAAAATGAACAAATTATAAGGGTATTAAAGATATATTAATTTAAATTTTGTGGGGCTTTTTTTTTAGGAGAAAGAAAGATCTTCAGAAACCAAAAATGTGTCTCTTTAACACCATCCGGTACTTTTTCCTGCTCGTGCTTCTGAGCGTAAGTAAAAGAAAACTTATTCTAAACTGTGTTAACTAGGAAAGTGGGGTAGTGAGGAATGTTTGGGTGTGACTGGACTGACATTTACAAGGGTATGCATTGTTCTCCAGAAGCCAAAACTAAGATCCTCAGCCACCATTTTCTTAATATATTGTTAACAAATCTTCCTTTGAACTTTCACTAATTTTAATTATTGTCATGGTTTATCCAGAAATTTCAGTTTCATTGTTTGTAAAAAAATTACTGACAACTTGAGACACCTCCATAGTATCTTGGAAATTAATACAGAAAGTTGAGAATTTTCTCAATGAAATGAATTTTCCCTATTGAAATGTGGATTAAAAACATGGTTCCTGGGTTCTTCAACATCTAAACTTCATCAGTCTGGTTATTGAGTTCAGATATATTTTTGATTAAAAACTAAAAATCCTCAGGACTTTTATGTATCACTGACACTCCATAATTCATTTTCCAGCTTTTTAGATCATGTTCAATTTATGTACTTCATATTGCTTTATTCACACAGATTTAACTAGTATATTTAGAGGCATACTCTCCTTAGAACACACTATCAGTATCTATATGTTCGTGTCAACATGGTCAACCTAACATCATATCAACTACAATAGTGCATGAAATGGAGATGAATACATTTTATATAAAAACATTGGCATTATCTTGATTCTTATCACTTCTACCACATTAGAACAACATTTGAGAATAAATTACAGATAAAGGTTACCTTGGTGTGTCACAAAACTAAGGCAGGCAAATTTTATTCACAGCCTTTGCTAATATATTTTATAAATTGAAATCAGAAAAGAATATGCATATGTTTAATGAATTATAGCCTGAAATATTTCATGATTGGTAGGCTACTCTTCTATTATATGTATTTGAATGGGGTATTTAGGTTACTTTATAGTATCTACTATGACAGAAAGAATCTTATCTGCATTAATTATATATTTCATATGGAGGATTTCTCCGTTACACAAAATTTGATACATCAATTCTTTCCAAAACATTTTGTTTCACACTCATATATCACAGAAAACAAATTTTAAGGAAAACATTCTTAATTAACCCAAACCCTCACTTTTTACATAACATATTGCTGTGAAAAAACCAATAACTGTATATACATTAAATTCTGCCAACTTGTTTTCCAATTGGCCTTTAAAGCATCAGTCTGGGCCATCGCCATGCCTTAGTCCCTCCATTAACCAAAATCACCCACTAACTGCTGCCTCCATGTCTGAGATAATACAAAAGGCTCAGGATAGAAGTTGGTATATAGTGTGCACTCAAAGGATGCTATGATGATGACAATGACAATAATAATGACAAGGAGAAAGACATAGATAAAACAAGATTCTTCTACAATCATTTTGATTTTGTTGTGTTTACTTAGTTGTTCTCCCCTAGAAAGTACACTGGACACCAAACAGGCACCTGATCCTACTAGGAAAAAAATCAGAGCTAATATCTTACAATGTTATATATTACCCTTTTTTTGAAAAGTATGACAAAAAACAGCAAGTAATTGTAACACATACACCATCAATAATAAAGATGGTGACATGGAAATCTTATTAGTTATGCCAATTTTAAAATCTAGATTCATTTTTTCTTATAATTATTAATTTGTTTTGAGTCATGGAGTTCAATGTGATCATTTGATCACATATATTGTATGTGATGATCAAAATAGTGTACTTAACATTCCCATCTCTATGAGCATTTTTAAAAAAGAAGAACCCAATGAACACATCTTTTGTGAGCAATTGTACTTGGCACAGCCAGTAGGCAGTGCCACCTTTTACAGTAGCCTGGGTCCTACTAAAGCAGAAATGGACCGTTTTCAACAGTCCAGACACAACAGCTCTGTAACTGTCCTGTATATTTCTAAAAACAACCCGCAACTCAAAAAGCAGACTGATTGTCTTATATCACCTTGACATGTGATCATTTCACTATAGAATACTTTCCTCTGGGTTTCACCTTTAGGGCAAATGAAACCTTCCAGAATGTAAGCTCCGTGAGGGCAGAAACCATGCCAGCAAGTTCACTGCTGAGTTTTCAGGAGCTACAACAGGGCCTGGCATGTGGGAGATGCTTAATGTATTTATTGTCTGAAATATCCAGTGATGCCTCAGATGCCGACTGCGGTTGGTGGCAGCTTGGTAATCATATATGAGGTGTCACTTGCTAGAAACATTCAGAGTGACATCACATATGTGGTGGCTAAACTGCTACATGGGACGACATTTATGAGACAGGTAGGAAGGCTCGTTTTTAAAGGCTCATATAGTGTTATTTGTGCCTCATTTCTGCCTCATAGAAGCATGGAATCATATTTATTTGAATCCCTCATAATGTCAGCACAGCACGTATGATTTATAGAATGTTTTCACATCTTTCATTCTGCTTAAACATTTCATAAAATCACAACTGGTTTTATTTTTCCTTTTTTCCTCTGAAGATAATACCACCTCACTAGCAATATCTATCTGCATGAAATTGTCAGAAAAGTTTAATATACTTAATTAACTACTTAGAATTTTTATGTGTGTTATTGGCAGTACTAACTTCATGATTGGAAATATACACCATATTTATATATGTATATATTTCTATCTACATTTATATTTCTATCTGTCTACCCATATATCTACCTATCTATCCATCCATCCATCTATCTGTAAATAAGATACCCCAAAGTGTATTTTATTTTAGTAAGCATGTCATTGAGACATTCAGCAACCACTGGGAACATTCCATCTTCAGTACTCAAGCATGGACCAGACCAGGAGCAGGCTCAGATTGCTGTGGCTCATCTGACAACAGAGGTTCTGATTTTTCATTCTTTCAGTGTTGAAACAACGTCTACTGAACCAGGCTCCAAACCAAGTTCACTGGATTTTGTTTCAATATTGCAAGAATGGCAGTATTGAAGCTACTGTCCTCAGAAGAACTATATCTACTCATACTCAGATGTTATCTACTGTCATTAATGTTAAAACAAATAAAGATACCATTGAAAGTACAAGTGTAGAGTTTTTCCATTCAAATCTTTTCACAAAATATTTTCTCTGGATCCCTTGAATTTTCAATTAATTCAAGAACATTTTTAATGATTTGACAAGCATATAAGGGCAGAATTCAGAATGTGATTCTGGAAAGAATGCCACCATTAAGGAAAATAATCCTTAATGTCTAAATATCTAATATGAAATATAAAGTCATATAAACATATACATAACATTCCATCTTCTAATTAATTAGAAGACTATAAGAAGATGGCTCATAAATTAAAGACATCAAGTGATAATTTTTATATCAACTGAAGATTCTAAAAATAGAGCCCTGAAAGAAGTTTCTAGAATAGATACCTAAGCTATGAGCATCTCCACTCTAAGGGCACTATGATTTTCCCTGTTTCAATGGCTTAATCATATTAGTTTGAATTTTTAAAATACACTCACATACATCCATGCAAATGTGAGAAAATCAAATATAAATAGAAATTTAAGTAAAAATTTCTTCAAATAATTTTTAATGCTCTACAAAGACGTGTTCTAATCAAAATAGAATATCTGGGAATTGTGTGGTTATTGTTCTCAATGTCTGGTCTCAGGAAATTGTTTCATAGTTTTCATGTGTCTTGCTAGACTGTAAGCTCCATGAGAGCAGGATTCACACTTGTTCTATCCGGCATCCTCAGCCATGTTTGGCTTACGAATTTCAGTGAATAATTTCTGGTGGGTTGATCTGAAAATCAGTGAGAAAAGAATCATAACAACAGAATTGTTTTGATTTATATGGTTGAAGAGTTTACACATCTTTAATCATGTTACTGGGCTCATCAATTTCTCTGCTGTCACAGATTCCAGATGCATTAAAATTAGAAATAATCTCCATATTCAAAACACAGAATCAACTTTATTCACAGTAGGAGGTCCATGTAGTGTTATAATAGGAACAAGTCTCCACCCTCCTCTCTCCGGTAACAATTTCTACTCAGATAACTTGATGGCATCTCCAAAACAAATCTGAAAGAGGACTCACCTTCTCCATGCTACAAACATTTTCCTTCCATCATATCCCCTTCTCCAGGATTCACCTTTTCTCTAGCTGTATCACCTAAAGACCTAGGCTCCTTACTGCTACCGCTCCCCGTTCCTTACATTCAGGCCTTCTCTCAAACCTTCATTGTGTGAGGAAGTATTGAGAGCCGTACTTTTCTCTATCTGTTTTATCAGGGAATGGTCTGGTTCAGACCTTCCATTTCTAGCTGCCCACCATAATCTTAACCAGTGGACATCTATTTTACTAGAATTCTGCTTTTACAACCTTCATTGGTTAAAAACCCACAAAATATTTTATGATCATGTTTTAATCACATCAGATTCAATATACTGAGCCTTTTATGCCAGGCATTATTTGATCTTTCAAGAATCTACATTGCCTGACTCCTTGAGCCCTTTATCTACCCTCAGGTGTGGAAAGATGACTCCACTGAAGTATCACACCAGTGTCTGAACACTAATGCATTCCTTTCTTTCCACTCCCCACAGCCTTCCTTCTCCCCTCAGTATAATAAATCACTACAGTCACTCAACATCCCATTCAAGTTCATCTGTGTATCTATTACCATCACTGACAATTTTTTATCTATATCCTCTCCCTACTCTTAATTTCATTCTATTTTGTGCTACACACTTTCACATCAGTGATATGCTATCATAGAAGCCTTACACAGTGGATACACATGGAAACAGTGAAGGTTCATCATGACTAGCCTAGAGTACTCAGAAGGATATTCATTTTAGAAACTACAGGGAATTTAGAGGGGAACATACTTGTGCCACAAATACATACAGTAAAACTTAAATCTTAGAATAATTTAGACAGAATTATGTCACATAAATACACATTCAGTAATAAGGTAGAGAAAAAGCAGTATTCTGAACTTCATACAAAGAAAGTCAGTGCGTTGAAGTCATCTCAAAAATAAAACAATAAACTTTATTTAGATTATTGACAGCACTGCTAAAAAAACACATCAACTGAAGATATTAAACACAAGTTAGAAAAGACAATATGACTGTGACCCCTCTCTCTCTCTCTCTCTCGTTCACACACACACAAACACACATAAAAACTTTAACAAATAGAATTATGATGGTGATTAACTGAAACTGAAAAAAAAATCTAATGTCAACTTGTACTGCAAACCGATGTGCCAATATAAATATTTAAGAATTACATTTTTTTCTCACTGAAAATGAATTACTATGTGTAGTTCGTGTGCTAATGAGATCAATTTGAAGAGCTTAAAGTCAATTATTTTGTTTGTTCTATGGAATAAACGTGGCAAATTTCTGGCAGCATACACAATGCAAACCTGAGCAGAAATCAGCCAAAACTATCCAGTGAAAGAAGCATATTTATTCCCCTATGTGGATTTTAAATTATGTGATCCATGATTCTCAAGAGTTCCAAGGATGGAAAAGTTGTTTTAAATATTGAGGATTTTTTGGAAACCAAATTATTTGCTGTGTTTATCTTAAGTTTTGTGGAGACAATAAAATTAAAACAACATGAGGTGATCAAGAAGTGTATGAGTGTGTATGATTGCTATACATTTTCAATAGCAAATGGATATTAATTCAAATACAAAGTGATAGAATTTTAATGTGAAATGTAATATATGTTTCAGTTATAAACCTAGAATGTTCTACATGGAATTCTAAATAAACATAGCCAACATAAGGAAAAAAGAATGTTTTCCACATTTTTAATCATCGTACCTGTGCCAATCCACCTCTTAGTCTCTATAAGTAACTGGTTTTCCTTTTCAATGCAGAACCCAACTCCAATTCTTCAGGCCACTTCAAATCTCACCGATCCAACAATGGATCCTGAGCCATTCCTGTACATGATTGGACGTCAGAAATTGCTGGATGCTCAGTACAAATGCTATGACCGAATGGAACAGCTACCCCCTTATGAAGGCGAAGGTAAATAGGAGGATGCAGTAAAGCTGAATGTGAACCATCATTTAAGATTTAATATGTCCATAGTTTTTACATTATGATGTATTTCATGCAGTAAATATACTGACTTTTTTCTATTAACTTCATCTAATGTCTTTTGGGCAAATATTTGCCCTCATGACAAATTTATCACAAAAGTCAATAGACACACGTAGGAAGCAGGAACATGCAAGACTGAGTGATGGAGGGGAAGCAGAAAATGATAGGAAGGAAAGTGGAAAGCGATTGGTGGAACTTGTGGAAACTCTGTCTTGTTTGGACTAATTAGGCATTTCTTTCCTCACTGTTGACTGGTTGACAATCAGTGTTATTCCTTCTCTTTTGCTTCCCCCAGCTCCCTAGAATTTTTTTTAAAAGATGTTGCATAGGCAAACATTGTTTCTCTATGTCCTTCTCTGGAATAATCTTTGTGACTGCCCAAATATTTTAACAGCTAAGTGTAGTCTATTTACTGCAGAAGGCCCAGAGAAATTCTAAAGGGAAGAATATGTGATAGCTAAACATCAGCACAACCTTTTAAATTCTCTTCCTTATTTCTAAAACATTGGAAAAAATTTAACAAGATTTTGTATAACCCTGAACATTCTAAGACAACTCAACTTGACAAAGGGAATGGTTAAATAAATTCTGCTACTATACACGGTTTGCTTTAAATAACTAAAAGGAAAAGTTCTTTGGATACAATACACCAATGTGCTTTATTAAATTATACAATATCCTATCCTTGAAATTTATTTAAAGTTTTTGAGGAATTAATTAATGTCATGAATTTTGACAAATAATATTCTTTCACTGAATTTTTCTTCAAATCCCTATGTTGATAATGATAAGAAAATAACCATGTCTTACATGAACTACAAATCCTACTATTATAAATCCAACTTCTTGCTTGTATATTTTAAAGAAAGATAAGGTATCATAAAGTAAAAAATTATCAATATACCTAAAAACTCATTTACTTAATGAGTTACACCTCAGACTTCCTTCACAATTAAATGGACAGAAGAGTAAAATACAATACTTAGAGCTGCTTGCTTTAATACAAGCCGAACTTTGGAGCCTCTTACAAAGTAAAACTAGAACCCAGTCTGTCATTACACGAGATAATTTGGTCATAGATATGCTAAAGCTGTTTGAAACTTCATGTCCAAAATTAATGAGTTTGTCACATTTGAAATTTGAGAAGCCCTCACTGGAACAGTGGGGTCTTCAGGTCAATGATCTCTTTTAGCCAAAACCACATGGTTTCAATATTAACTTCTTTTTACATTGCCAGGTCCCTATTGCAACCGTACCTGGGATGGATGGATGTGCTGGGATGATACTCCAGCTGGGGTAACAGCCTTTCAGTACTGCCCAGATTACTTTCCAGACTTTGACTCAACAGGTAGGTTGTTTAGTTTCATTTTATGTTTTGTTATAAATAAAAATGAGTTAAGTGGATAAGTGTTACCAACCCATTTCCATTATAAAAGTTACATAGCAGTGATTCTCACTGAGTATTTTGTAAATCACATCCTGGAAAAAAAAGATACTGAAAAAGATGTATCTTTGTTATGAAAGAGGCCCACATGCTGACACTAAATGGGATTGGCTAGAGACATAACATGTAAGTCTTTAGAAAAAGATGAAATATTTTTCCATGAGTCAAGTGAGTCTGATCCAGTCAAGTATGTTTAAGTGTCTCTGGAATTCCAATGAGAGCAGAGAAATAAGTCCATCTCTGGAATATTTGGAAGATGCTTTGGGAGCCTCTCTCAAGAAAAGATTGCACTTGTTGAAGCCAAAATTCCACCCCAGAAAGATAAAGATAATCAAAGTATAATTGCAGGAGCCTCTTTTAAAACCAATGTAAAATAAAATAAAACCAGGGCAGGTCACCTACTTCTGGGAAATCCCATTCTAAAGGATGGGATTTGAAAAAAGGGCTCTATACAGTGCCCTAATTCTGAGCTACATTCTTGTTAGCTGTAGCTAAATGCTATTTGATGATTATCCTCAGGCTTTTATTTCTCTTCCCAACACATGATGCTTCATTAATCTTGATTTGATAGCTACATTAGAGGTGACTTGACTGGTACAAAAAGCTGTTCTGAAATTGAGGCTACTGGGCCAGCCTGAAAGTAGCAGTGGGCTCCTGCCAAAGCAGTTACAGACAGTGACTAAAAGGCAAGGTTTCAATGAGCAAAATGGAGATTTCCAGGCATAGATCCATCTTTTCAGTCTGGTTTTTAGATCAAGCCATCTTGGCTGAGAGAGAAAAACACTCCTAAAGAAAAGCACATCTGAAAAATGTGTATCTTCAACACAACTAAATTCTTTGGAACTTTATTGTTAACAAAGGGACATCTTAGCAATGCACAAAATACTCTATTGAATGGTCAAGGTTTTTATTTTGGAAAAGGTGATTTGCAGAAGACAGATAAGGACTGAGGCGATGGCTCAGTTGGCAAAGCACTTGCTACAAAAGCATGAGGATCTGAGCTCAGTCTCAGCACCCATGTGAAAAACTGGGCACAATGTACTGCCAGGGAGGTAGAGACAAGAGGATCCAGATAATTAAAGAGCCTTTCTAAACAATAAGGTGAACAACTGAGAAATACCGTCTGGACTCCATGCACATCTGCACACACAATACCACACATGACACACACGAAGACAGGTAAATAGTGAAAGAGTGAATATCAGTATTGAAATTCTGAAGAGGATGACAGTGTACAAGAATAGACCACAGTGTAAAAAACAACATTTACCAAGTAGTCATGTAAGGCCCTGCACATAGAGTCACTCTATCAGCTTCAAATGCCATAGAGGCAAGGTAGTACCTGTGATCTCTACTTCATGTTCTGCAAAGTGATTAACTCTTTGGAATGACTTTTAAGCATTAACTCTTACTTTTTCTTCTTGATATTTTGAGATATTAATGTATTACTTTTCTGCTACATTAACAGAAAAGGTTAGCAAGTACTGTGACGAAAATGGAGTTTGGTTTAAACACCCTGACAGCAATCGAACCTGGTCCAACTATACTATGTGCAATGCTTTCACTCCCGAGAAACTGCATGTAAGTTCTATTTAAAATTTCAGTGTTGAACTACAGTGTCATTGTTTGTACATGGAAATGGATGCGTAACTATAATAGATCTGCTACTAAAAGAAAGAAATTCAACAGATTTCTATGTAAAGATATTGGGAAATTCTAGGGTCTCTGTCGTACATTAGAGAAAATGACATTCCTTTCTGTTGCCACTCAGTCCCAGTGGGTCTTCTGTGAGCCTATGGAATCAGGCCACTTATGACAAAGGGAACAGAGTCCACAGAGCAGATGATGGGATTTCCTCTGGTGTGAGAAATTAGACAGCATTTAGAGAAACTTGCTAATATCTTTTGCCCCCGGTAGAGTTCCAGAACTTCAGATTTTTCTGAAAGCTACAAGTTGAAAGTTACTCTCTTCTCTCACAAACTTAATTTTACCATTGGGTATAATTGGGCTTCCCATCAGCGCATAACAGTTCAGACTATTTTCAGAGGAGTTTATTCTGTCTTACAGACTACAAAATATTTTAAATAACCTCTTGACTTATTTAAGCCCTGTCCTAGTCTGTTTCACCATTGCTGTGACAAAACACTCTGACCAATATCAACTTGGGGAGGAAAGGGTTTATTCAGCTTACAACTCCCAGGTTGCAGTTCATCCCCGGGAGCCCAAGGTAGGAACGCAGGGCAGGAACCTGGAGGCAGGAGCTGGAGCACAGGCCATGGAGGAATGCTGCTTACTGGCTTGCTCTCCTGGCTGCTGCTCAGCCTGCTTTCTTATGCAACACAGGCCCCCCGCCCAGGGATGGCACCACCCACAGTGGGGTGGGGCCTCCGATATCACTCATCACGAAGATGCCCTTCAGACATGGCCACAGGCCAGTCCAATAAAGGAAATTCCCCAATTGAGGCTCCCTCAATCCAGTTGTGTCAAGTTGACACTAAAGCTATCCAGCGCAAACCCATAGAGGGAAAAATATATTCTATCGCTTCTTTAACTACATTAAAAATCTGAAAATGCAACTAAACCTACAACCACCCTTTTTACCCTTCAGGGATTCAAGAAATAATATCAATATTTAGCTCTAAAGAGCATCTCTAAGCAACCCTGATAGCTGCAATGTGGGCCAATCATTCCTTCAAAGAGAGGTCTGTGAACTAAAATATTATTGAGTTAGAAACTAACAGCACTCTGTGCTTTATTTTGCTGTTGAAAAGTTTTAGAAGTATATAAAAATTTTCATTTTATTAAAACTGAAACAAATAGCAACAGGAAAGCAGAGGCAAATAAATATTAGCTGAGTACCGGAGCACCTTGTCACAGGCTCAGATGAGGCCCCAAAGCCAGTGACCTCTTCACACATTGCTTAGTTACTCCTGGGGCTCAGATGTATGTCTACAGTCTAATGAAGGTTTATTCACTTAATAAAGTCTGCTGGAAGTGACTTGTGACCATGTAAGGAATTCCATGAATGAGTATGCTTGTATGAGAAAAATCTAAACATGCTAATTTGAGCGTTATGAATAATGCAAATCCAAATAGTTAACTCTCAATGATGCTATATTTGACCCTGGTGACATCTCACATACCCTGACCACATCTGAGAAGGAAATTGTTTTGTGAAGTAATGCTCTCCTCAGGTGCCTAATATAATGATTAAAATTCTTTTCACAAGTTCTTCATATAAAGATAGTCCAAAACTATTTGAAGAAATCAGCCTAGAATTTAACTTTAAACTATCCAAAACATCTTAGTTTTGAAAATGACAGAGGATTACAACTAAATTATGAGCTATTGATTTGATCTTCTACATTTAGACAATTCTATTTCAGAAGAATACATATTTATTTAAAACAATACCGCAAAAGAATACAAATTAAGTTATATATAGTTTTCTTATCAAGGTAGACAGACTTAAGTTACATAAAGTTTTCTTAGAAAATGTATTTCTGTGGAGAAAAATAGGGTTGCTCAGAGATGCTCTTTAGAACTAAATATTGATATTATTTCTTGAAGCCCTGAAGGGTAAAAAGGGTGGTTGTAGGTTTAGTTGTATTTTCAGATTTTTAACATAGTTGAAGAAGAGATAGTATATATTTTTCCCTCTATGGGCTTGCACTGGATAGCTTTAGGGTCAACTTGACACTGAACCCTCCCTCAAAAAAGTTCTCTTGAGTTTTTATCTGTTGTCATTACAAATCACCCCTTCCCACTTTATCGTCATCAGCAGTAAGGATAAGAAGTGCAGTCAGGAGACCAATGACAGCAATGACAATTCCTAATGACATGGGGGTGCGGGTATGTAAACACCCAGTCAAATGGCACAATAGGCACAGTTCAAGAGAGGTTGGCTAGCTTGTTTTGAAATTCCAGGAGCCTAAAAAGACAATGTTTGTTCTAGTACACTAACTGTGAACATAAGAAAGCTCTGCATGCTTTGACCAGATTTTAACAAAATTAGTTATTCAATTTCATACTTTCCACAAAGCAATTGGCAATAATTGCGTGATAAAATTACATAAATTGAGAGTTTCTTTAAAGGGTAAAAACTCATTCAATTTTATGTCTTACAGGGTTTATACTGAGTTCAATGTTGTATAACTGTATTAATTCAACTGTGAACCTAAAATTTTACAGCCACTTATGAAAGAGATGTATCCTTGCTCTGGAATGTGTTACTGAATATGTTAAAGCTGTAATGAAATGTTTCTTCTAATCATGTGGTTACTAATTTTAACAAAACTTTTTAAAAAGTACATAAATGTGACATTTATTCCTAAGAAATCAAAAACTTCATTGAAATTATCCCCCTTATTTTCATTACATATTGTTTATACCAAGACCCAACAAACACTGACAGGAATGTCAGAGCAGAAGTCATTAGATAAAATGTATACGCACAAAATTATACACACAGTATGCTTAAAAACAACACAGTAGTAAAACAAACTTGGTTCCAACAGAGTTGTGTCTACTTCATTATAACTGATAAAACTGACTAAATAATATTAATTGATGAGAATAATATAGAGGCAGAAACAGAGGCAAAGAGAGAAAAATGACTGGATCAGTCTCTCTTTTCTGAACAGTAAAATTATATTATGAGAAAAGGAAAGATTATGGATGACCAAGAAAAAGAAGCTATGATATTATGTATTTTCCAAAGGGTGATAACCTTTTATCAACTAACATAATACCAAGAGCACAGAAGTAAATTAATCATGGTTGTGAAAAAATAGAATTGGGGCTGGAGAGATGGCTCAGTGGTTAAGAACACTGACTATTCTTGCAGAAGACTCAGGTTCAAATCCCAGCACCCACATGGCAGGAGGTCCTACAACCTCTTCTGTCCCCCACGGGCATTTCACAACATGGGTGCACTTACCTATGTGCAAGCAATACACACATACATATAAAATAAAAATAATAAAATATTTAAAAAATAAAATTAACAATTGGCCGTGCATGGTGGCATATGCCTTTAATCCCAGCACTCGGGAGGGAGAGGCAGGCAGATCTCTGTGAGTTTGAGGCCAGCCTGG